GCGCGCCCGCGCCGCTCCGGACGGTCCGGGCGCTGGAGACCCGGGAGGAGCGCTGGCCTCCGCCGCTCACACCCGAGCGTTTGGTTTCCTGCCGGGAGGTACCACGTCCCTCTCCCTCCACCGGATGTCTGCATTATCGCAGCGTGCACAGGCCTCGGCGGGTCTCGCTCGCGCTAAGATTAAGTTATCAAGTGGTTTCTGCCCCCGGGCCCGGGGCTTTCCGGAAGGAGGCGACTGCGACCCGAGAGTTCGAAGGGATCCCGGCCCCGGAGGGACTCCGCGGGAGCCTCCGGGTCCGCCTGCACCCTCTCCTGGAGAACTGCTCCATTGTAGGTGTGACCTTCAAGGCTTCACCTGAAAAAGCCCTGAGGGGGCTTGCCTAAAATAAACTGCCTGGAAGCTTAGCATTTATTTATTTAGCTATGCGATGCTTCATAAGTCCTAGTTCCTGTTCTTTTGTAAAAGCCTTGTGATTTGGAGTGTTTCCTGTGCCGGATTCATTGTTTATTCCTAGAGAGCTAAAGTAAAGGTTGTGCCCTTAACTTACACATCAACAGACCCTGTGCCCATGCTAGCTGCTAAATTTCTCAAATCCTGTGTCCGGGACATTTACATGCACACATGAGAAACCAGATAGTTAAGTGGCCCCGCCTAAAACAAAGCTTAGTAGTTTAATTATTAGTTGGATTTGGCATTAGACCCCATCGTTAAACTCCCTCTAAATTGCGTTCCTTCAGGTTAAGCCTGTTGCATTTTTATAAAATGTGATTGACTTGTTATTCAGGAATGATTTGCTGAAATTGGCACCTGGTTTTCTTATCCCTTAAAAACAACCCTAAATATGCTATAAAAAAAGTTTTACCAGTACAGCAACAAGAAAAAAATGAGATCCAATACCTGTCATGTAAAGGTACAAGATCCTAATGATGAATGTAACTGTACTGTATACCTAAAATGTACTCAATGAGGAAAAAATAAACACAATGAGGAAAAAAATACAGCAACAAGACTCTAACTTGGTTTCTCCTTCATAAGATATTTCACCTCTAAAATTGTTGGTTTTTCAGTACTAATAGCGAATTTAGCCATGGTGTTACCGCAGTCCTTTTTGTACCATTTTTACGACATACAGACCTTTGTTAACCACCTACACTTTAGCACAACAGTAGTTCATGTGACTATTAGGAAAACAGTGGTTTCAGAAAGTTTGGCATGACTATGTAAAGAATTCCATTTTACACTGTGATTCAGTAAAGGTTTTATAAATCAGTACCATACTTACACTGAATGCAACAAAACACATATATTCTGCCTGTTTTCTTTTTTTCCAGACACTGGTCAGGACCTATTTGCATTCATAACTCAATTAGCTCAGACTTTCACTGTGACAAACGTTGATTTTAGAGTATATAGTGAGGCTTGTATTTCTTTGATTCTAGGTAAGTTGACTTCTAATTGACAAAGTTGCCCCAATATAAGACTATGTTTCCAGAAGATTTGGTCCCTGCTTTGTTTTACTGGGAAAATTCTCTAACAGTCAACTAAAGTTTGTGAAATAATCATAAACAATGAAATGGACTGCTCCATTTAGGACTGCGCAAGGACTTTAGTGTCGCAAGTACATTGTGCATCTGGGGTGTATGGGCTAGTTAGGTTCCATACTTATATGACTACAGAATGTTTTTTCCTTGTGCTTTCTCGTGGGTGGGAGAGATGTCATTACAAACCCAGTTATTACAGGAAGATGAGCTTTGAGTCAAATTGGTTGGATTCAGGTGCAGATTTAGCCTTAAGTTTCTGAACTCCAGTGTCTATGCAATACTGCTTTTACAAAATTTAAGTGAAAATGTAAACTGGGTAGCACGTTGTCTAGGATGTAATGAGGGCTTACGTGTATATTTATTTGAAGAAAATGATGATATATTTACAGATGGCTCACTGGGAATGAAATATGCCAATTTCTAAAGATTAAGAAAATGTAAACAGCTAAGATATGATGGACTTAACTTTACAGAGATAATACTAAGAGTTAAAGATAAGAGTCACTGACTTCCTGTCACACACAGACCCCTTCCAGCCTTCAGAGTCAAATTCCTCTCCCTTCCAAGTTTCCCTGATGCTCCCAGGCCCCCTCCACTGTAACACCCTTCCTCCTCCTGTGCATAAAACCAAAAGTGTTCTACAATGGGCAATGCTAATAGGTGATGCATAGAAATACTAACCTCATGTAGCAGTATGTTTTCATTCCAAATGTGTTTAAGTTTATAAATAATTTCCAAAGTAATCACATTGATGACAAAGTCTAGCACAGTTTCCTGGTATGAAAGTTGCAGAGTGAATTAGTACAGCCAGAATATGTCCAGGCAAAATTGTCTGTTTTTGATCTGTCTGCTGATGAGCTTTATTCTAGGTCCTGGGATTCTTAACCCCTAGAACTAGCACAAAGGACTGTCAGAGTAGCACATAGGACCTGCTACCATGGGATGGTGAGAGCAACCTTCATCTTCACTCTGTTCTCCTCTGCCCCCAGGACTTAGCTAATGGACTTGCCAGATGAGGACAGGAGCTGGCTTTTGGAGAATCAGTTCTGTGCTCATAAAGGACAAGAGTCATCCTCAAGCTCATGCCTCCTCTCACACTGCACCCTTTTATTTTTTTTTCAGCTTTAATCGAGTTTATTGGTACATTTTAGGGATACAGTACAGTTACATTCATTGTTGGGATCTTGTACCTCTACATGACAAGTCTTGATTCTCATTTTTTCCCCTTACCTCTGCCCTCCCTTCACCCCCTCCTCCCCTCCCCATCTACAAACACTTTATTTTCATCTTTTCGTTCTCTCACATTTTTTTCTTTTCCCTTTTTACTCTTCCCCTACCCATCCCACCTTCCCTACACCTTTAGCTCTTTTCTTCAAATTTCTAAATGTCAGTAATCTTATTAGAATTTTATGCATTGTTGCAGATTATTTATACCAGGGAAACTATTCGGTATTTACACATGTGTGACCTATTTATTTGACTTAGGAGTATGTCTTCAATATGTATCCATTTTCCTATGAATGAATCTATTTTCTCATTCTTTATGGCTGAGTAATATTCCATTTTATAGAAAAACCACAACTTCTTTATCCAGTTTCCAAAGGATGGGCAAATAGGCTGTTTCCAAGATTTAGCTATAACAAACTGTGCTGCTATAAACATGGGTGCACATATTTCTCTGCGATATGATTCTTTTAATTCTCTTGTAAAAGATCTCCAGCAGAGGGATGGCTGGGTCAAATGGAACCTCCAGTCCAAGCTCTTTGAGGTATCTCCATATTGATTTCCATAGTGGTTGCACTAGTCTGCACTCCCACCAACAATGGAGAAGGGTTCCTTTCTCCCCACAACCCTGCCAACATTTGTTATTGTGTGATTTCTTGATAGCAGCCATTCTTTGTGGGGTGAGGTGGAATCTCAGTGGTGCTTTCATCTGCATCTCTCGAATGACCAGTGATGTGGAACGTTTTTTCATATACTTTCTTGTTGCTTTTACTTCTTTGTCTGAGAAATGTCTGTTCATTTCGGATGCCCATTTTTGAATTGGGTCTTTATATTTGGGGGAACTGATTGTTTTGCGTTCTTTATATATCCTTGATAATAGTCCTTTGCCTGAGGAACAGCTGGTAAAAATTTTTTCCCACATTGTAGATTGTCTCTTAGTTTTGCTGATGGTTTCTTTTGAAGTACAGAAGCTTTTTAGTAAGATGAGATCCCAGTTGTTGATTCTATCTGCTAGTTCCCGTGCTACTGAGGATTTGTTCATAAAGTCTTTTCCTATACCAATGTCTTCCAGAGTTCTGCCTAACTTACCTTCCAGCAAGTTTAATGTTTCTGTTTTAATATTTAGATCTTTAATCCATTTGGATTTTAATTTAGTGTATGGCGAAAGATAAGGGTCTAATTTTAATCTGTGGCAGGTTGACATCCAGTTTTTCCAACACCATTTATTAAAGAGGCTATCTTTCCTCCACTGAGGATGATCAGCTCCTTTGTCAAAGATGAGGTAGCTGAGTACATCTGCATTTATTTTTGTGTCT